TTGGTGAGGGTACTATGCACCCGAAGATAGACGGATAGCCGGAAAGAATATCAAGTGACGGTCCTATGATCAAGACACACCTCACTTCAACACTCTGATCTTAGCAGGCAAGACAGATTGTCGAGAGCAGATGTCGGCTGTCTGTGAGTGGTGTGTCCACGCCCTGATCGATCAGATGTGTCCGACAGCTGTGAGATTTGAACTCACGCGGGTTACCCCAATAGATTTCTAGTCTATCGCCTTAACCACTCGGCCAAGCTGTCCCCAGAGCCCATTTATCCTTAAATCGCTTTTTCAAATTCTACACGCTTTGATTACGTGCGGGCTGTTCACCGCCGTGCGTAATGACGCATGGTCAGTGTAAACAATGAAGGGTCTATCTCCTAATAGATAGACTCTGAACTTCGCGAGTGCATACTTCATGGCAAGGAGTTCCTCGTCATGCACTGGATAGTTCCGCTCAGCTGGTTGCAGCTGACGCGAATGATAGCAGACGACGCGTTCAACGCCTTCAAGATCGTACTGCATTAATGCACAGCCGATTGCGAAATCGCTGGCATCAGAGACCACATGAAATGGCCTGTCTTGATCGGCTATTGCTAGGACTGGGGATTGTATCAAGCTCTGCTTGATACCATCAAAGGAGCGTTGACATTCAGCGTTCCATAACCACCTCTCGTTCTTTTTCAACAAACGAGAGAGGTGCACAGTCATCTTGGCGTAATTGCGTGAATACTTATGCAAATACGCCGCTAGCCCAAGGAATTTTCGAAGACCTTTGACATCAACCGGCACAGGCCAGTCGGTGATCGCCTTGATCTTTTCGGGATCAGGACGTACACCGTTCTTACCAACAATGTACCCAAGAAGTGGTATTTCGCTTGCTGCAAATACACACTTCTTGAGGTTTGCATACAATTGAGGCTTTCGCATGATTGTAAGAACCTGTCGGACGTGGTACCTGTGAACCTCAACATCCGACTTTCCATCCATAGCTCGACTATGGATAAATACGTCATCGAAATAACTCGGCGCGAATTCTCGTACTGGTCTCAACAGATGTGATACACATCTGTTGAACGTGGCAGGGGCATTACTAAGCCCTTGTGGCATTACTAGCCATTCCCAGAGCATGCCGCTAGGCGTGCTAACTGCGGTATAGGGTATATCCCGTTCTCTCATAAGGATCTGATAGAAGCCATCCATCAAATTCATGGACGAAAAGATGGTACTCTTTGACAAACCATCAATGATTACGTCCTTCCTCGGTATCGGCGTCTGAGCTGGTACCGTTGCAGCATTCAACTTGTTAAATGCATGCACTATCCGTTGCCCTCCTGTTGCTTTTCGCACACAGAAGGTCGGAGAGCTATGTGGAGAAGTTGATTCCCTCACATGGCCCGCAGCTAAACGATCGGCAAAGAACTTGTCGATCGCAAGTACTTGTTCACGAGGCAGTGGCCACTGCTTCATGACACAGTACTTCGAGCCTGGTTTAAGCTCGACCTCGTGTCGAATACCTTTATCCTTCGGTAATTCGCACGGAACAGTTTCAGGGAATACATCCTTGAATTCAACCAAATCTTCATAGAGAGGATTTGTCTTGAACGATTCCCACGATTGGGAGTCATATCGCTCAATTCGTGTCTTTTCATCTAGGACACTCTCGTCCATAGATGAACTACTGAGAACTCTCTCGTTCTCAGGAAACACTGTTGCTGACCTTATGTCGGCTACACACTCGTCGTCAGCGACGAGTACGCAGATCTGCTTGACTTTGCCACTACGCAGATCACGCAAGAACCTTTTATGTTCGAGCGTTGGCAACTGAGTGATCTCCGAAGTTAACTTCGGAGGCGCAATCAGATCAAGTGTATAAGCGCCTGCACTTGATCCGTTATTGACTAGGACGTTTAATGTCTCTTTCATTTCCTGGGGACTTATTCCCTCAGGCTTCGAAGGACTTATTCCTTCGGCTTCCCGGGGACTTATTCCCGCGGGTTTCAGGGAACTTATTTCCGCCGTATTTGTAATCTTGGGACTTATTCTCTTTACTTCCTCTAGCTGGGGTTGCGCAACCACAGCGAGATCCTCTACGAAAGACTCTCCAGTCGATCTAGGATTATCGTTTAGCTTAACCTGAGCGATCGATCTTTTCTCTTCTAGATGTTCCCCGCTAGGGATACATCTTTGTCCCAGTCCACCCGACTTATTCGAGTGGTGGACCTTCGGCGCAGCCTGTGTTTCCTCACAGCCGCCGGAACTTTGCTCCGAAGTGTAACCGTTTGTTACACTAAGGTTTTGTGCAGTCGTACTAACCACCGTACCACAAGTGAGGCCATCGCACTCACTCGTAGTACATTCACACGCTTGTGGACGCTCCAAAACGTTCATCAGATGGCCATCTGATGAACAAGCGGCAGGCATCGTTACTGTTCGATGTTGCCAGTTTACCTGTGGTTCGTACCTTCTGAGCCACGGTAGTCCAAGGATGACATCAAATTTGTCATCCAAATCCAATACGATAAAGTCATCGTCATATTGGGTAACTTCTAGCGTACAGTGGATCTTCACTATACGCTTCATGACGGTTACGGATGCACATGTCGCAAGACGTACCGTCATCCTCGTAGGAGGTGTGTCACATTCACTGAACTTAAAGTGACCATCTTCTAGCGATTGGCGTTGCACAAAATTGTTGGACGCTTCACAATTGACTAGAGCTCGAAGGGACAACTTATTTGTCACTTCGAGTTTCAAGGTAATGAGTGAGATCTCATTACCTAGAGCAGCAACGCACAATATTTGTGTGTTGGGAGCAACCTTCATCAAGAGGCCTGCAAATTCTCTTGACGTTGCTAGACCAGTAGGGTGCTCCGCACCTACTGATCCTGTCCGTTTTTGGACGGTCCATCCCGTTGTTGCGTCTTTGCACCAACAGCGGACCCGCGTCCCTGCCCCTATCTCATGGGTGGACGGTCACTACGCCCAGTGTCACGAGACACTGGACGAGGGGCACTACACTCGTAAGCGTAGTGTCCTGTCTTCTGACATCTGTTGCATTTCTGCAACTTCTTGTAGTCTGTAGAGCGAGCCTTCTCGCTCTCTACATACCAGAGTTCCATCGGCTCTGGACCTCCGTTGTCATATCGTATCGGTTGACGATATGATGTCGAGCTGGCGCGAGCCTGTCTCAGACTGAAGTCTTCCTGTTCCGCAATGGAAATTGCTTGTTCTAGTGAATCTAGTTCAAGCCGGAACAGGTGAGTCTTGACGGGACCATCCGCAAGACCCTGCATGAACACCGAAACCAACGTGTTTTCATCAACCGGATTGGAACTTATACAACTCTTAAGAAGTCGTATATGTTGCGCGTAAGCGTGTACATCACGCTTACCCTGCTTGAGCTTCAAGAGTTCAGTTTGAGCTCTGAACTCAGCTCTAGGCGGTTCAAACGTTTGTCTGAGCCGCGACTTGAAGACTTCCAACGACCCAAACGCATATGGGTCGTGCAACTTGAGCCCCAGTACCCAAGTCTTGGCACGTCCTGCCAGATTTGACTGGGCAAATGCAACTTGCATATCCCCGTCGTCGATGCGACGCGCCCTTATGGCGTCATCCAATTCGACGAACCATCTCAAGAGGGAGTCCTCTTCGACTCCCCTATACTTGGAGATGTCAATCTTCAAGGTTTCGGGTCGACGCGAGTGCATCGGCCCACCAGCAGCAGCCTGCTGCTGTCTCAACAGTTCAAACTGTTGAGCACCCTGTTCTCTCAACAACTCTGCTTGTTGAGAACCTTGTTGGTGAAGCAAGGCTACTTTCTCGCGTTCAGCGTCAAGTTCATTTTGAATGAACTTGGCGATAGTAGCATGTTGGGCATCTCTATTGAGAGCCTCTAGGATGACGCTAACAGCATGGATGCCCATGGTTGAACCCATTCGTTCAACCGCATCCCATTCGACATCGCTCAAATGGGAGTAGCCGTCACGCGTAGCGTGAAAGCTTTGGTCATCTTCATCATCCAACATATTCATGTTAGATGTGAACGTGGTCCCTGGACGGACTACGAAGTGCTACCAGGTGTAACGGGGCACCCTGAAGCTTGTACTGATGACAGTACAAGCTACTTATTCTGATAACAGAATAAGGCGGTGCCCCGGAACTTCACGTACACTCGTACGTGCAGAGGAAGACGGTAAGAAGAAGCGAGTACTTGGTTAAAGTAAAAAGTAGAACTGTATTTATAATAGTTAATGTCTGCAATAAATCACTATTTATCTTCATCTAACTATGTCTGAATACAAATATGTAAATCAACTATCTGCTCACCACTCATTGCGTACGTCTGTCGTGGCGCGTCTTCGTTGGTTGATATAATGGCCTATATCAACCAATTAGGAACTACTCGTAAGTGCTACAGAACATTTGTCCTTATGACAATATTCTGAGAAAATGACTCTCATAGTTATATTCTATTAATAATTTCTTATAAATTGTTATGTAACGATTCACCCCGTTACAGTAACCCCTTCACATCAATGCTGTCATTCTGTCTTGTCAATCCACGCTAAATATTGCCAACCGGCCGTTGGTATCACTTGGACCTTTGTTTCCCTTTAATTTTTTTTAGCATATTATCGGTCACATCCACGTTTGCACCCCGCCTCAACTGGGCATACTGGTAAAATTACCAGCTTTACGGCACTCGAGGTAGTGGCCAGCTGTTAAACACAAGCAACCATCGCCGCCAAACCCAGTGATTTAAATAGTCGTGCTTTACAGCTTGCCTACAATTGTGTCCCTTGGTGCTAGAGGTCAAGAAGTCTTTGACGAGTGCTACAAGCGCGCTACTTGAGTGGAAGACCCAGTTCGCAACCAATCGACTCCAAGACGAACAGGCGCTGCACGAGACGCTCGTGGCGCTATTCTCCACGTCGACGTTCGTGGGCAAGGAACTCCCGACGGAGCGCCAACAAGCGCTCGTGCTGCTTGAATTAATGGCAGAAGTCGCTCCACACGAGCCGCTACGAGGCCATTCGTCACAGCTGGTGGCGACGCTCAAGATGACACACGGCCGGATCGTCACCTTGTGTGACTGGCGTCTCAGTACTCGCGTACCCAAGTGGTTCTTGCCAGGATATGAAGTGAACTTTTCAGTGTCCGACCAGACCATCGGGCATGCAAGGGGCTCTTTTGGCTCCACGCTTCATCGTGGAGAGGTGTACCGGTACACGTACAGCAAGGACCGAGCTCTGTCGAGCGCAACGTCCACGGTAGCAGTCAAGTGTCTCTGGGCACTGCCTGACGTTCACTTTCAGTACCTGGAGCAGCTCTTCGAACGCAGTGGCGTGTCGAAATGGACACGTGTGCGACACCCAAACGTGGTGACGATACGGGGAGCTTCCCACGTTGTGACGCCGCCATACTTTGTGAGAGACTTTACAACTTACGGTGGACTTACGACATATCTTGAAGCCCTGGAAACACGGGCGAGGGAATGTGCAGGTTCAGAAAGTCGTGGAAAAATGGAGACGCTGACTTGGCAGTTACTGTACGGAGCCAGTCGTGGACTACTGCACCTCCATGAGCAACACAACATTGTTCATGGTGGATTACGCTGCAACAATATCCTCGTTGATAAGAAAGGTCGGGCTGTGATTGCCGACTACGGACTCTATACGTTGGCATGTGATGCTCGGGATTCGGGACTCACTGAACATTTTCAGCTGGACGTTTTTGACGCGGACGCTGGGGAACAACTCCGATGGCAAGCCCCGGAGTGTCTGCAAGAGCATGCAGCCTATCGAGCGTCACTTCAGTCTCTTTCGGAAACTGGGTCGGCACTAGTGTCATCACGCAGTCCTAGTGCGTCGGCCGCTTCATTTGCCACAGATGTGTACACTTTTGGAATGTGTATTCTGGAAGCTTTGACACGCACAGTGCCCTGGGAGTGGCATGACATTGTGACGATTCGCACACTGAAAGCGAATCAGAGTCCGCTTCCTCCTCGACCAAGGTTCATATCATCTCAGGCGTGGAATCTGATTGAAAAGATGTGTGCAGCCGACCCGGAGAAGCGCATGTCTTTGGCCGAGGCTTCGCAGGAGCTCAAGCGATTTGGATACGGAGACCGCGTGTCATCTCATTCACGCAGTCACAGTTCGATGAATTTGGCACTACCGGAGGCCAACGCAAGTGCCAAAGTGGATCGTGTGTTGAATTCGTTGGACGAAGTTTCACGAAAACTCGTGCACCTCGATGGCAGTACGAAGGACTTGGGGGCGCTCGAAGCTGATGCAGTTGCCGAAGCTGAGCATGTTTTTACGTCATTGGAAGAAGCCTCAGAAGAGCTTCAGAATATACAGAACCGTTCTTGCAACGGGTGTGCTACAGATATGGGGGAGTTGGAAGAAGAAGCATCGCAAAAACTAGTCCGCGTGCTGAGTCGGTTGAATATTGCCTTTCGAGAGCTGAAGCGACTGGGTATGGGCGACAAAGCAACAAATGCGTCGTGATACAGCGCTTTTGACCTGGTACAAGGAGCACACGAGAAGTCGAATCGACTAGTTTGTGATAGCCCTAGCAGTACAGTTGCTGATCAAACGAAGTGTTTGCTTTCCAAAGCGGATGGGGGTCAAACGAATGACGATGGGACATTGATGCCCTCTGCGGAGATGCTTCTCAGCCCGCCATCCGTACCAGTCAAGAATGTCGATGAAATGGTCGCTATCGGATGGGATAAGAAGCTTGATCAGCACCTCATCTCGATTCCTGATGTATCAGCGATAGATGAGATTGTTTCTCCATTGAAAAATTCCATCCTTGCGCGCAAACGTTGCTTTTCCTCTCCACATAAAGCAAGAAGCGGTGTTGCAGCAGGTGGTTCATTGGCACCAGTTGCAAAAGAAGCGGAAAACGTCTGGTGTTTGCCCGAAGAGTGGGGGACGAAGGTCGCTCGTTCACAACAAGTAGTTCGCTCACGGAGCAGAACACGATTTGAAAAGCGCAAGAATGATTGTAGTCAAAGCGATCATGGATCGACCGTCATAGACGATGTTACTGATATGACCTCTGCTACTGATGCCGACATCTACCCGTTCGCGCACGAGCAACCCGAGCACGAAATGGATAACGATATTGTTGGCGTAAAAGTTGTGGTTGCTGATGAAGATTACCCAGGATTGCTGAGTTGTAACGAAGACGAAGAAACGTCCGAGGATGTGACTAGCGGCGAAAGCTCAATGGATGAAGAAATGCTGATGATCATACCTGCCGAGTTTCAGACGGCTCGCAGTTTTGACGAGGATGATTCCACGTCGTCATTGCACCCAGTAGCGCGTCTCCTGGACAGTCTAAGGGTGGAGCAGCCTGACAAGGCTCGTGTCGTCGAAACGCTGGAGGCTATAAAGCAGGCTCTCGAGATGTCCACGGCACGGATCATTGTGGATCGTGAGGGTTTTCTCACTTTGATGGAACTTGTGTGGAGAGATTATTCTGAGGCTTGCACGATGCACGCTTTGGATTTATTACAATCGATTGCCGGCCTCGATCCTGACTTTGTGGCAACTTTGGTTGAGTCGAAACTCGTGAAGATCTTGCTTGCCGTTATCAAACACAGATCATCTCCTCAGCAGGTTGATTTGGCTGCATCGTTCCTTCTTGAAACTATTGTCGAAAACAAGGAGGCAACGGAACAATTGTGGAAGTGCCGTGGTGTCGGTGTGATGGAGGATAGCAGCGTAATCAACAAACGACTTGTGCAGGAAGTGAAGTCTACGATGGCTAAATTCAAGCGCAACGAAGGCTTGAAGTGTCTTGAGGACGGTGAATTTCATTTGGCGATCGACAAGTTCACTGAAGCGATTAATTTGGATCGCAAGCGTGCGGGGTACTACGGTGACCGAAGGTATGCCACACATAGGATGGACTGTTTGCATGACTGGATCTTTTGAGCTAATGTACTTGTTAGTTTGGCGTATATGGAGGCATCAATGTTTAAGAAAGCAGCGGACGACGCTTACCGCTGCAAGCGCTACAACCCGTACGATGTGATGGGTTACCTACGACATGGCTTGGCTCTTCGAGCAATGGGAAAGTACAAAGAGGCGGTCGAGACGTTGCGGAAGGGGACGGAGGTTGATCCCAAGTTCGTCAAAATATTTGACGTACTCACCGAGACTAAGCAGCTGTACAAGGCTCAGTTGAAAGGAGTGAATGATGGCGCCACGTTGCGCCGCATGACGGCTGCTGAATCCGCAAAACTGAAGAAAAGGGATGGCGACGACGCTCTTCGAAAGAAGGATTATGTGCTTGCAATTGCATGCTACACTGAAGCTCTCGAGCTTGACCCAAAAAACGATTGAATGTATTTGCATCGAAGTATTGCCCATGCTGCTCAAACGGATCATGCTAAGGCAATTGAAGATGCATCCAAGTGCATCCGACTCAATTACCGTCAGGTCGAAGGATACTACCGTCTTGCGTTGGCCTTACATGCAGCCGGTCAGCATGCCCAGGCGTTGAGTACACTTTACCGTGGTCAGGAAGTGAACGCGCGACATGTGGGCATCTCTCGCTTTATCGTTCAGCTCGAAGAGGAGGAGGCGAAGGAAGCAGGGCTGTCCTTACCCGTGTGGTTTAAGGAAAAAGGGTACAGAGCGTTTCAGCTGCGCTCGTACGAGGACGCTATCAAGTTCTACACCAAGGCGATAGATGCTTCGCAATCTGACGATGATGAGGTGGTCATGCACTGCTACTTGTACCGTTCCCGTGCTAGCCAGACGCGGGGTGAGTTTTCAGCCGTCATTGCTGATTGCACATACGTGCTGGATCGTTGTCCAGAGAACGTTTTTGCTCGACTTCGAAGAGTAGATGCATACGAGCAACAACGTGACTTCCTTATGGCTCTCAAGGATATTCGGGAGCTTGCGGCGATCAATCTGGAGTATGAAGATGCGCATGCCCGCCTGCAATCTCTTGAGCACAAATGCCGACTTCTTCCTGGTGCATCTCAGCACAAGAGTGTTGGAATTGGTCTGTGAGTGACACGAGGTCTTATCATGAGTGAGCATGTGTGATTCTAGCAGCGTTTGCTCAGTTGCAAAGCGTGCAACACACTGAAAGACAGGTTGCCATTGCAACTTGGGCTATCTTCAGTACGACATCGAAGCACTTGGGTTTGGGAGAAGCGTATGGTCGATTGAGTTGTATGCGTTACTATGCGTTGACGTTCTTGAAGGGGTGGCTTAAGGGCAAAACGGATCATCGCAACACGAAGCTTTTAGTCAATTGCGAGCTTGTGCGGCTGAAGAAACTTGATCAGCATGTTGTGTATCCATCTGTGTCCGCGAATACGATCCACGGACACAGGTGGACACACAACATGCTAATCGCGTTGATTGCGGCATGCAAATGAAAAGAACTTGTGCTACTTGGATGCTTCAGTTTGTTAGAAGTACGTGTAGCTAGAAGGGTAGACAGTCACTTGGTACGACGCTCTGGTCATAGTTGCGCGCATGGATAAGTACTCGATATGTGGCCTGATCTACAAGCCAACACGAAGCGACCCTGCTTCGTTTGGCGTCTGTCGATTCTTACGATGACACAACCCTGACTTCTTACGCGTCGCAACATAACTGTTGCAAAGAAAGGATGTCTCAAGTGTCTTAGTGGTGACTGCGCATCACAAATAAACAGTCAAGGCTTTTACATGGAAAAGGGTAAAGGGGAGTGAAAAGTGGCCACTGGGTGAATCGTTACATAACAATTTATAAGAAATTGTTAATAGAATATAACTATGAGAGTCATTTATTCAGAATATTGTCATAAGGACAAATATTCTGTAGCACTTACGAGTAGTTCCTAATTGGTTGATATAGGCCATTATATCAACCAACGAAGACGCGCCACGACAGACGTACGCAATGAGTGGTGAGCAGATAACTGATTTACACATTTGTATTCAGACATAGTTAGATGAAGATAAATAGTGATTTATTGCAGACATTAACTATTATAAATACAGTTCTACTTTTTACTTTAACCAAGTACTCGCTTCTTCTTACCGTCTTCCTCTGCACGTACGAGTGTACGTGAAGTTACGAGGCACCGCCTTATTCTGTCATCAGAATATGTAGCTTGTACTGTCACCAGTACAAGCTTCAGGGTGCCCCGTTACACCATTGAGGGGGGAATTAAATCCCATCACGACACATAGTGCAATACTACTATTTTTAACTACGCGGAGGTTTCTCAGCTGCATTCAATTCATTCCGCTGGTCACGGGCCAAAGCTCGTATCCGTGTGGTCTTTTGAACTCGACGCGTGTTGAACTGCTGCAGAGGACCATGACGTTGTTTCGGCATAGCTTTGGTGAGTCGCGAAAAACTGGTACATGACAGAGTCATTTTCGACTGCAGAACCCACAACAGACGGATAAATGTTGCATTCACAACAACTTTGCACGAGCTTTTCGAGCAAATTACTATGATACGTGGCATTGTATCTGGCTCATGCCACCTAGCGTAGATCATGACCTTATCCACCTCAACGACTTGTGCTCGAAAGCAAACTAGCTCTGGCACGGCTCGCGCGTAACTTCCAGGTTAGTGCACTTAGTTACGTAGTATTCAGCAGGAAACCAGGCACGGTACCGAAATCGCAGGGTCAAGAATTGTGTAAAATAATTTTTTATGCTCGATGTCCAGACAATCTTGGATCCCATATAACGTTTTGTGCGTAACGTCTCCTCCGAACCCTTTGTCAGACCCTACAGCAAACAGTTCAGTCATCCGATAATGTCCCATGTAAGCCCAAGTTTTGACCATTAGGCTTTGCTCACTGGTGATGTGATGGGGAACGAAGTCAAGCCTGGACTTTTTACAAAAGGTACGCATCAATTAGATACGGAAGCAAGCTCTGGAGCTCGCCCCTTGATAAAAGTAAATAAAAAAGTGGATTTATTCGCAAAATGCTGTACAACGGCAGACACTGAAGAATGAGTTCATTGCTATTTGTATTTGTGTTAACCCAGTACATTAAACTCGGTCAACGCGGTGGACCTGTGCATATGAGCGTCCAGCGTTTGCTTATGTGATCATATTCACCTTTGATCGATCATAAGCCAATCACGTGCGTGCTTCACAATATTGACCTGGTCTGAGAGTGACACGTATCATGCTTATCGAACTATGAGAGGGGACAGGCTAAATCGTATTTAAAACGTAAGAGGTACACCTAACCGTGTTATTTGCACACTATAGGAACGTTTACATGAAACTCGATAATAGTAAACGCTTTAAAACGCTTAACAGATTGAAAAATAGAATGTTTTACATGTTATACTGCACGCCACTCCACTGGAGTGAAGTCCACGCCCACGCACTATGGCACCTAAATGGCACCTAAAGGATGTAAGCGCGGCGTTAAGTGGGCCGAGCTCGATGACGTCGAGAGCAACGGTCAGCACAAGGTCCCACGTGATGCGTACAATCACTACGCTTCGAATGTGTTCGCATCAACTGCGAACGTAAGAACTCGCCCGAGCAAGTGAAAGAAGCGGCCACGCTCGGTCTGCTACTTGCCGACCGTTGTAACGGGGTGGCCCGTTACACGATATTGACACCAAACAGTGTCAATAGGAAGATTGTCTAGCGTGACAATTCCCAAACAAAATTATCCGAGATCGATTGTATTGAAGGAGTATTATCCCCTTGTAGGATAATGTTCATGCGCTGCTCAAAGATTAGTTGATAGAGACATATCAACCAAGGTTAGAACTGATCGCTGCCAGACGCGCGCAATGAGTGGTGAGCAGGTTGTCGTCATACGACAATGCAGATTAACATAGTTCCATTAAGACTGAAGCTATATTGATAGCTTAACTTTAATAAATACAGTTCTCTTTTTACCTTTGGCTCAAACAGCTACTTTGAGTAGATTAGCTTCCTCTGCACGTACTAGTGTATGTGAAGTTTCGAGGCACCCCACACAAAGGGTGCCCGTTACACCTGGTAGCACTTGAAGTCCGTCCAACGACTACTTCGTGTCCGTCCAACATGCTCATGTAGGACGTAGAAGACGACAGCTTTCACGTCACACGTGAGGGATACTCCCATCTGAGTGACTCAGAGTGGGGGGTAGTCGGTCGCTTGAGTATACTCATAAGCGAACCCACCATCAGTGGCATGTTGGAGTCTCTAAGCAGAGACCAGCAACATGCTGCTATCAACAAGTTCCTACAAGGGAAACTTGCCGTCGAAAGACAGAAGATAGCCTTGCTACAGCAGCAAGGCTCTCATCAGTCGATGGGCGGGCCGACTCACATGCGTCGACCCGAAACCTTGAAGATTGATATCTCAAGGTACAAGGGAACCCATGAATATTCCCTTTTGAGATGGTTCGTCGAGTTAGACGATGCCATCAGGGCCCGTCACGTCGAGGGTGACGAGATGCAAGTCACCTCTGCCCTGTCAAAATTTGACAAGACTAGCAAAGACTTGGGCCTTAGAGCTCAATCTTTACAACCCAAACGTGTTTGAGTCGTTAAAGATCTAATAGTCCCGGCCAAAGAGACGCTTGAGCCACCAAGTGCCAAGTTCAGAGCATGCACTGCACCCCTGGGACTTAAACATGGTAAGCTTGACGTGCACGCTTTCGCACAACACTCCGCTACCTTGCGAGTAGAGTCACAAAACCCTGTTGATGAGCACACACTCATCAATGTGCTCATCTACGGTCTTGTAAATGGACCGGTTGAGGCCTACATGCTCCAAGAGAAATTCTATACGCTGGAAAGGCGATAGCGTATGCGGAACAAGAGGACCTCAGCCTGAGACAGTCTTAGGATAGCTCATCAAACTATCGTCCGACAAGACGACAGGAAACAGGAGGTCCCGAACCAATGGACCTCTGTTTTATCGAGAGCATGAACTCTGCTCTTCGAGCCACAAGCGATCGACAAGATGTTGTTGCTGTCAGAAGATCGGGAACACTGCGCGTATGCGTGTAGTGTCCCAAGCACCGTATCACGTCCAAAGACAGGACGTGATGACCGCCGTTGGCCGAGGAATGGTTCAAGTCCGGGTCCGACCATGTCGCTGAACCGCGACAGCAAGTCAGATCGCCAAAAAACGGTTGGGGTCAGTAGGGGCGGAGCACACTAATGATCTAACAATGCCAGGAGAATTTGCAGGATTCTTGACGAAGATTGCTCCCAATGCACAGTCAACTTGTATTACTTCTCCTAGTGATGAGGTGTCCCTCGTCACTTTGAAGATCAAAGTGACAAGTGAATGTCACTTTGCGCCCTTGTTGACTGTGGGGCGTCGAAAGCTTTCATTCGACGCAGTCGCTAGAAGATGGTAGACTCAACTATGTTGAGCGAGAGTTCCCCTTTAAAGAGGGTGACGGTGTGCCTTGCTACAGGCGAATCCGTAACAATGAAAAACGTGTAGTGGGAATCTAATACAAGTTAAAAGTAAAGCATCACGATAGTGACTTCATCGTACTAGATTTAGACGAAGTATTTATTGTCATCCTCGGTCTGCCATGGCTCCGAAGTTATGAGCCGTGGATCAGCAGGCAGCATCTATCCGTGAGGATGCATGCCGTTTGTTCATCAGATGACCATATGATGAACGTCTTGGAGCGTCCACAAGCGTTTGGATGTACTACTAGTGAATGCGATGGCCTCACTTGTGGTACGGTCGTTAGTATGACTGCACAAGATCACAGTGTAGAAGGCCGCTACACTGTGGAACCAGCTTCCGGCACCTGTATTGAGACACAGGCTGCGCCGAAGGTTCACCACTCGAATAGATCGAGTGTACTGGAACACGGATGCACACCAAGAAGGGTGTATCCAAGAAGAGAGATTAGTGCTTTTCAGGATGAACAACACTTTGAAGCGAGATCGACTAACAGTGAGTCGATCGTAGAGCAAGCCCGATTGACTGAAAGAGGTTCAATCGAAAAGGACGTGACTGTAGTAGTGCACCCACAGTCATTACACGTATTGGAAGAAATTATCAGCGTTCATGAG